AAATCTTTTAAAAAATTTAATTTTTTTTTGTTAATATTTATGGGTGTCCTGAAGAATCAACCCTTTCAGGTTTCGGCCATACTATACATGCTTACGCGACCCAGGGTCCATGGGACGAACAATACTCATAAAATCTAGTGTCTTCAAATCTAGTGAGAAGAAAAGCTGGTATGCCTACATATAAAGAATGTTCTATGTTGGGTCAGTTGGTGCACATATAAAAAAAAATCCTGCAGCACAACAGTGCGTATGAGAAAAAAAAACAACTTTCACCGTGTTTTATGGATTCAAACAAACGACTTTTAGCACGTATTTTTGTATGGTATTTATGTTTGTATTCTAGTTTTTTCCTTGTCCTCATTGTATAGAATGGAAGACCAAATTACTGAAATTGAGATGATTTTGACTGGTTTTTAACATGAAAAGTACCTTGAAATTGGAGCTCAAAGTAGCATAAATGTTCGATTTTACCAAAGTTCAAAAGTAAACAAAATCAAGCTAAGCGTCCAATACATCATCAACTGGTGAGTCTAATATCTTTCACAAGTGTGCCGATATTATTTATACCATTTCTAATCACTAATTGCAGTAGTCTGCTATATAACTTGACCAAACTTCCCACCACTACAGATATCAGTACTAAACTCAAACCCAAACTTCAGGAAATAAATAACCATAATTTAAACCTAGAAGATGATTGGTTCACGTGACCCTGATCTAAACCTCCATTAATCTGACACAGACAGTCAAAAAACCTATTGGAAAGTAACTGCCTTTACTACACAGCATCACAAGCCACACTATGCTACACAATGCCAAAAATTCTATCATACTTAACTACAACATCAGGTCCTTAAGCAAACCACTATGATGACCTCCTGTCCCTACCTTGAATCACTAAAGACCACCCCTTCTCCTGCATATTCTTACTGTGAGACCTGGCTAAGAGCAGGACATAAAAGATATCTACCCTCTACCAGATACACAGCAGACCACAAACTGCAGACCATACCAATTGTGGGTGGTATTGCAATCTATTACTCTAACCCATTTATCTTGTATTAACACCACTTCTTTTAGTGATGAATATGGAGAATACATTTTTGCTAATTTTAACTGTAAAAAACCTTAACGGCCTATAACAATCGTGCCTTTACCGGATACCCCACACAAACATCCCAATTTCAGTGAGAAACTAAAGGCACTAATAACAAACAGACAAAAGACTAAGCACCACCTTCTCTTAGCTGGAGAACTTCAACATCAACCTTGGCCTACTAGATGATCACCTGTAACTGATTTCATCAACAATATGAACAACACACATCTCATACCAAACAATAACTAAACCAAACCAGGCTCACCTGAAACGAGTGCAACCATAATTAACCACATAGGGACCCAAATATACTACCCCCCTTTAATCAGGGATATCACAGATAGCACTTCAGACCACTACCCTAACTTCCTCTTGACAAACATTAGTAGGCCACCACTTGAAATACAACAAAGTTTCATTTAGACTTCCATGAATAGAAGGGCCTCAATAAGGAAGTTCACAGCTGACCTAGAGACTGTGACTTGGCATACAGAATTCTCCAAGCCAGAGGTATTATTGACTGGACGAACATTATTCTTAAACAAATTACTTAGACTATCAACAAAACATTGTCCCTATAAAAACAAAAACAGAATCACTAAACAAACGGCTTGGTTGCCCATAAATCCATCCGCGACACGTCAACTCCCAAGTATCTGAAAACATTCACTTCTTCCATACTTCTCCTAAATTTGATATCCAATTTTTCTTTATCTAAATCATTTGATACCCTCATCACCTTACTCTTTTCTATGTTCACTTTCAACTTTCTACCTTTACACACATTCCCAAACTCATCCACTAACCTTTGCAATTTTTCTTTAGAATGTCCCATAAGCACAGTATTATCAGCAAAAAGTAACTGTGTTAATTCCCATTTTGAATTTGATTCCCCATGATTTAATCCCACCCCTCTCCTGAACACCCTACCATTTACTTCTTTTACAACCCCATCTATAAATATATTAAACAACCATGGTGACATTACACATCCCTGTCTAAGACCTACTTTTACCGGGAAGTAGTCTCCCTCTCTTCTACACACCCTAACCTGAGCCTCACTACCCTCATAAAAACTCTTTACAGCATTTAGTAACTTACCACCTATTTCATATACTTGCAACATCTGCCACATTGCTCCCCTATCCACTCTATCATATGCCTTTTCTAAATCCATAAATGCAATAAAAACTTCCCTACCTTTATCTAAATACTGTTCACATATATGCTTCAATGTAAACACTTGATCTACACATCCTCTACCCACTCTGAAACCTCCTTGCTCATCCGCAATCCTACATTCTGTCTTACCTCTAATTCTTTCAATTATAACCCTACCGTACACTTTTCCTGGTATACTCAATAAACTTATTCCTCTATAATTTTTACAATCTCTTTTGTCCCCCTTCCCTTTATATAAAGGGACTATACATGCTCTCTGCCAATCCGTAGGTACCTTCCCCTCTTTCATACATTTATTAAACAAAAGTACCAACCACTCCAACACTATATCCCCATGCCATGTAGGAATCTTGGGTAACTTTTAGGAGTCTTTTGTCATTAACATTTTAATAGGATTTCTAACTGAATGTAGGTTACTTTAACTTGGTGTGATAGTATTTATTTGTGTGTTTTATTAATGTTAGTCAATTTTTATTGTTTTACCTTGAATGTTCTTATGTGTGTGTTACCTATATTCATCATTACCAAGCTCAGTTAGTGATCTACCAGTCCTATGCACTGATTAAACCTCAAAACTGCTTGCTTACTACTATCCATTGCTATCATAACCATGATCACTGGGCTGTGTGCACTAATGTGTGGTTGACATTATGGTAACTATTCTTACACCATCACTAGATGGTGTAGTGATTGTATTCATGAACCACAATAATGTTATTAAAATTTCTAAATTATAATAATACCTCAATTTCATGAACTAATAGGGTGGACTGGATGTTGGGTCATGCTGAATGTATGGTAAATCCAAACAATGTTAAAAAATAAAAAAAATCCATCTATGCCAGGAGCTTGTGCGTATTGTGATTCCATCCACACCTGAAGCTTATAATCTGGTTTTAATTTTTAATACAACCACTGTTACTTTCTGATATGTTTTGCATTAGCATTGTCAAACCTTTCTTAACAGCTCAATACAAGATGTCTGTTACATTTGTCACTACTCATTACACCACTGTGCTGTCCCAGCTACAGTAACTTGTACATTTGTGTATTTCTTTGTGCTGGCATTACATAGAGCATCATGCTTTATACGATATGTTCCTGGTCCAGGGTGAATAAAACCATGGGAACTTGTATTTCAGTAAATGTAAGTGATGCTTATTCTTATTTGTGTCATGTTACTTCATTGAAGTATGGTACTGCTGACATGGTTAAAAAAGTTACATAGAGCAAATAGAGACTTGTAATGTATTTAACGCTTTTACTGTTTCTTCTTCTTCTGTTGGGTTTCAGGGCCACTGACAGCATACACTGTAACCTTTGACTGTTTTAGCCATATGTATACATCTAATGAGCCAGTGTTTCGGACATATATACATATACCCGAAAATTCTTGCGGCTTCAAATCAAGTGGGAGAAAGCTGGTAGGCCCACATATGAGAGAATGGGTTTGTGTGGTCAGTGTGTGCTGTATAAAAAAAATCCTGCAGCCCACAGTTCATAATGAGAAAAAAAATACTCCAACTGTGTTTTTGGATTAAAACACCAACTTTGAGGTGTATTTTCGTATAGTATTTATGGATGTATTCTGGTTTTCTTGGTCTCATTTGATAGAATGGAAAACATATTACAGAAATAGTTTCACTATGAAAATCACCTTGAAAATGAGTTCAAAGAAATGGAAATGTTTGATTTTTGCCAATGTTCACGTAAACAAATTACTCCACGCGTCCAATACACGTCAGCTGGTGAGTCTAATATTTTTTCACAAGTGCACTGATATTATTTATACTATTTTTACAATAAAGAAGTAGTCTACATTACAGTAAATCTTCTATTTTTTGTGTGAATAAAAAATCAAAATAGAGAGCAAGAGTAATATAAGGGTGGCCTGGAGATGTGACAAATGAACAGAGGAAATGTTATTTTAGTGCCAGGAATGTGCATTGTTTATTCTCGACCCTATTTTGAAATTGGCTTTTTTTTTAATTTGCATGAAATTGGCCAAATTGCCAAATTCTGACCACTTTATTGGGTAGTTGAAATTGATAAATGGGTGCTTTCTCATATTCAATCGATGGAACAAATGGAGTTCTGAAGAAATAGTTATGAGTTTCTCCGACTGGAACAATGGAATTGGCCGAAAATAAGGCTCAAAGCCGGTGAAATCGCCAATGTGTAACTATCGCCGAGATCGCTAACTTCGCAAAAGCGTAATTCCTTAAGTTTTTCATAAAATTTCATAGTTTTGGTGTCATTAGAATCGGAAAAAGATTCTCTATCATTTCAAAAAATATAATTTTTTTTTTTTTCGAAAATTTTGCGACATAGTATGAGAGTTTCAGAAATGGGCTTCTGACTTTCAGAGGGTTAATAAAGCTTCATGTAGATGAAACATCTTATTAATAAGCATCCTTTGCTGTATCTTTAATCATAATGTATATAGACATAGACATACACAGACATCTAAAAGATAACGACTAGTGATTCCTCCTTACTCACCCAATCCTTTTGTCTCCACTGTCTATCACAGGGCCATAGAGCTGTGTTGAAACTGTTTAATGCTTAAGCAAAGGTATAATTATAAAAAAATAACTTGTAAATATCATTCTTAACCTACCTGGAGTATACCTGGAGAGGGTTTCGGGTGTAATATTTTAGAAGAAATTATGAATTTTCATTGTGAAATTTAATAATAATTTACAGTTTTATTGTGCAGGTTTGGTTGCAATGTCAAAAGATGTGGAGTCCCTTTATGCATCTGTGAAAGCTCTCTCCTGTGTCATCAAAACAAGTAAAACAGGTGAGTCAAAACACACCATTGCTTCCTGTATACTGACTTGGGTAGCTTAGAATGTAGACATATAAAGTAAGGAGTATACCTACTGTATTCCTACACAGATTAACATAAAATTATTCACTTATGGTAAACCCTCTCATAACACAATTTTGTGGAACTCAGTTTTGGATGAATTCTATTAAGAACTTGCATCATGGCTATAACAGTCTAATGACACCCTTGATATTAATGTGTGTAAATCTATAAATTTGGGTTGTTAGCTTTGTACATTTTTGCTGTCGGTTCAATGGTTTACAGGTAGTGCCCTCTAGAGCCTCTGCCTCCCACACAGCAAGAGCAAGTTACTACACAATATTTTTCTTAGCTAACAATAGGTTTTGAAAATCTGTGTAACTTACGAATGCCTAATTTGTATAAAAAAACTTCGAAGAGAGTCTTCTGCTCTATTAACCCTTTCACTGTCCAGACCTCCAAAATTTATGTTCTCCCAATATTTTTTTTTCATTAAACTGGCCATGTACCACTGAGGAGGGGGGCCCCAAAGGGAAAAAACAAAATTTTTCCCCCCTTTTAAAAATTTTGTAATTATATATATGCCTCGGTGGGAGACGGCCGACTTTTGAAAAAAAAAAAATAAAATTTAAATATATATATTATTAATATAACATGGCCCCCACATAACATTTTAACCCGGCTGAGAGCTCATTGTTATGCAAAATTATCGTTTGAGGATGAATTTTTTTCCCCAAAAAAAAAATAATGGAAATCAATTAACCCGTGCAAGCCCCAAAAGTATGAAAAAAAAAAATTTTTACCCATGAAATTTTAATTTTAATACACCAAATGAAAAAGGCAGAAAATTTACATGCACTTACCTTTATTAAAAATCGGGTGTGATTGATGGGTGGGAGGAGGAAGAGTCTTAAGTTTGAAGGGAACCCCCTTCCTTTAAAAGATTGAGGGTTCAAGCCCTTTTTCGGGGGTTACTTCCCTTCTTTTTAAAAGCCGGGCCCCACTTCAGGTCACGGGCTACTGTCGCACAACAATTTTCCATGGGGCCTGACCTCTCTTCCTTTATGACTTCCCAAAAGTGTTTCCAACTTTGTCAGGAAATATCACCACCCGGGCTTGCAATAGCTGTGTGAGGGTGATTTTAACCAAAAGGTTTGCCTTTCAGCACATTGCACAGATTTCCTTATTTTTGTAGTAGAAAACTTCTTAAATTTTTCCTCTCCCCTCCCCAACCATTTCCCAGGTCTGGCCTCTTGCTCTTAAAGTTTTCTATCAGCTCATCAGTGGTTATTCTTCTTTTTCTCCTCCACCAACCTTCCCACATCATCCCCCACTAACCTCCAACTCCAAGGACTTCCCCAATGCCACAATGATTCCTAAAACCTGCATACTCCCTCGGGGTTACCCTCAAACCCTTAAAAACCCCTTTTTGTCTACTATTCTGCCACAGTTTTTTCCAGCAGAGTTAAGGCCCCTTTTGTCACTCCCCCCAAGCCTTCCCTTTTAAGGTTTAAAAAATTGAGGTATTAAATGATCTCCCCAAAACTCTCTTAGAGTCAGTGAGTTTCTGGGGTCACTAAAAAGCCCTTTCAAACAGAGCTTTTTGTACATTTTTTTTAAAGTTTGAATAACCTCTGGTCCATGGGCTGCGGAGAGGAGTGGTATTGGGAGGCAAAAACTTCCCTTAAAGAATATGCCCCCATAAAGTCGCTCTGCCACGTCTGTAGGATGACCGGGGGCTTGTCTAACACCAGAGGCATTTTAAGGTCTAATTTTTTTTCATTAGGAAATCTTTCACTTTGGGGGGGCAAATGCGGTTAACCAGTCATGAAAAAGTCCCTATGCCCCATGCCTTACGGTTTGCCCTCCAAAAGAAACACAAAATTAGCCTTGAGGATATTCTTTGTCTGAACTTCGGGGATTTTTTGAGTGATACACAAATAAAGGCTTCTTTGCAATCACCAGTAGCTTTGGGAACACATAAAACAGATTAACCCCGTCTTTCTTGGGCTTTGTTCGGGGATGCCTTTTTTCCCCCTGAGTAATGTGGCCCTGCTTGGCATTTTCTTCCAAAAAACGGGCCTGTTTCTCACAATTAAACACTTTTCGGGTTTCAGCCCTTCATTTTCTATGTACTCCTGAATTCCTGCACTTTTTTTTCAGCTGCTTTGGGGTCCGAACGGGCAGCCCCCCAGCCTTATCACTAGTTGCCACTACGCTTTTTAAATTCTAAACCAAACCCTTTGCTCCCCTTAAAAATTCACTCACATCATCACTGTTGCAGGCATTTTTCAATTAAATCCTGATGCAACTTCCTAGCCTTTCACTTGCACTTCTGAGATGCTGTCTCCTGTATTTTTTTTTATTTACCCAAACCCCAAATTAGGTCTCTCAACATCTCCATCCTTGCGATCTCTGTTTCAAAACACAGAAAAATTTTTGGCAAGAACAGTTTCCCTTGATTCCTTTTTTCCCCCAAAATAGTACGATGGTTGACGGGGGTTTATTTACAACCTGGCCAGCTCGGGGGACCCACCCATTTTCATACTTTAAATGATCTTTTTCTTCATCTCTATAGAAATTTCTCACCCTTTTCCTGTAGGGTTGGCATAAAAAGCTTTTTGGGGCCCAGGGTCACTTATTTTGAAAAAAAATCACCAAAAAACACTGAATAATACGAAATATTCCGATTGTATTTTTGGGGTTTACCCCGGGGAGGCGGGTGGTAAAAAATCCCCCCGGCGGAACATGTGAGGCTGGCTAAGGGGCGCACATTAGACCGCTCGGCAACACGTTGAGCGGGTTTTTTTTACGGTATGCGGGCAAAATTTGCGATAAAACTTAAGGGGCGGATTTAACGTTATGTAATCCCAAGGGTATGGGGGGGGTCCACTATATATAATTACATTTCTTTAACAAACGGGCCGATCCCCCCGGGGATATATTAAAAAAAGGGACCACAGATAACAGATAAATTTTAGTTTAGCTACACTGAGAGTAAAAGTAGATGGATACAAGGAGAAAGAACATCAGGGAAAGAGGGGTAAAGGGTTTATAAACAAAAAGGGAACAGTTAGGTAAGATATAAACAGAATTGGAGGTGTGGGCTAATGAAGCATAGGCAATGGGATCGAAGAGGTAGGGGGGTAGTTAAAAAAAATGTATGTTAGAGTGTTCAGCAGAAGTTTTTGTTACAGGAAAGGGGGTGGGGGGGAAGGGGAGGAGGGTGTAATGATATGTATAGAGAGTAGAAAGGGGGAAAAAAAAGTTAGCATATGAGAATTTTTAAAAGAGAATATGCAAGGAGGGAGAGTACATTATATGGGAAAAAAGATAGTTTAAGAGAGGGTGAAGAAATGAAAAAAGAGAGAAAATGAGGAGTGGGTGGATACAAGAAATTTTTTTGGAAAAAAGAGAAAGTTTTGGAGTGAGTTTAACAAGTTAAAAAAAAAACCTGGGGAACAAAGGATTTGCATTAAAAAAAGGAAGGAGAGTTTTTAAAATGGGGGTTTTAAGGTTTGGGGGAAATGGGGGGAATATTTTGAGGAATTGTTAAATTTTAAGAAGATAGGGAAGCTGTGATTTCTGTAAGGGCAAGGGGGAATACATTTTGTGGGTGGGGAAGAGCCAGTTGGAGGTGGGGGAAGTTTGAGGCATAGGAAAAAAGAAAGGGGGTAAGGCACCGGCATTGAAGGGATAAAGATAGAAATGTTAAAAGCAGGTGGGGATATATTTTTGGAGTGTTGGGTACAATTTTTTTAATAAATGATGGAAGAGGGAAAGGGTACCTAGGGATTGGCAGAGACATGCATATTCCCTTTGTATAAAGGAAAAGGGGGGACAAAAAAGGAGGAAAAAATGATGGGGGGATAAGTCTGTTGAGTAAACCGGGAAAGTGTATGGTAAGATTTATTGAAAGAATTAAGAGTAGAGGGAAATGGATAGCAGAGAAAGGAGGCTTTGGGAAAAGGGTAGGGGTGTGTGGACCAGGTTTTACAGTGAAACATTAAGTGAACAGTATTTAGATAAGGCAAAGGGGTCTTTGGGGCATTAGGGGATTTGGAAAAAAAGGGTTTTAGACAGGGTGGATAGGTGGGAAAATGGGGCAGATGTTGCAGGTGTATGGTGTGGGAGGTGGTTACTGAAGCAGTGGATTTTTTATGAGGATAGTGGGGCTCAAGTTGAGTATGTGGAAAGGGGAAAAATTTTTTCCCCAAAAAAAGGGTGGGCCCTTAGACAAGGATGTGTGATGCACGTGTTGTTTAATAAATTTTTATGGGGTTGTAAGAGAAGAAATGCGAGGGTTTGCATGAGGTGGGGATTTAAAAAGATGAAGAATCACCAAAAAAGGGGGGTTTGTCACAGTTCCCTTTTTTGCTGATGACACTGGCTCTTGGGAGATTCTGAAAGAAGTGCGAGATGGGGGATAATTTTGGTAGGGTGGCAAAAGAAGAAAATAAAAGTGAATAAGGAAAAGTAAGGTTATGGGGAAACAAAAAGTTTAGGGTGAAAGATTGGATATCAATTGGGGGGAGAAGTTGGAGGGGGTAATTTTTCGATATTTGGGGGGGACGTTGCGCGATGGGTCTAGAAAGATGAGGTGAACATAGAATTGTGAGGGAAAAGGGTGAGTGGTGACTTAGGGTTGTGGGGCAAAAAATTTGTCCTTTGGGGGAAAAGAGGGGAATTTATGAGAGTATAGTTTTTACCAAACGCTCTAAGGGTGTAAGCAGGGTGATGAATTTTGCACGGGGAGAGGCTGGGGGAGGGGAGTGTATGTCTAGGGCAAGTGTGGTTAAATTTTAATGCAGAGAATTCGTATTTGGAATTTAGGAGGGGGTGGGGGATTACGAGGTAAGAAAAAAAAAAAATAATAATAATAATAAATATATATATATGTATACAGTGGACCCCGCTAACGATCACCTCCGAATGCCCCAAATTTTGAAAGTGTATTTATGTAATGGTTTGTCGGGGAGTTTGGGGGCTGA